CCAGGAGCCCTGCTGGGGCACTCTCCTCTCCGGGCTGCCCCTGCTCAGGCAGCGCTGCCCCGGCTGGGGGTGCCCGTGCCCCCAGCCTGGCACCGGGAGGTTTGGGCTGGTCAGAGGCGTTTGCTGGGCTTGCACTGACCTCTAGTGACTAGTCAGGGGACCGGGGGCTTCAACCGCCGCGGCGCTTCCTGGGCTCACCCAGTCTCGCGCTGGTGTTTGGTGGGCCCGGGCACCGCAGCCTCTGGTGTGGCCTGGAGGACACGATCCTGCTGCCTGGCCAGGGTCTGGCTGCAGTGTCCCAAACCCCACACACCTCCCCACGGAACTGCTCATCCCCCCCCAGCCCACCCGTGCCGTGGTTGTCCTCATGTCTTCTGCACTGTTGGTTCTCCCCATCCATCTCATTCTCTCTCCAGTCCATGAGTCTGTTTCCCCCATCTCCTTCTGCCTCCCCATTCCTGCATGGCACCTGATCACTGCCAGTCCCCGCTCCTGGGAACGTGGTACTCCTGCTCCTTGCTTCTGGGATGGTCCTGAGCACCTCAGCTCCCACTTCTCCCCTCTGCCTCCCTCCACACCCTGGCTCTCCTGCAGAGCCTGCCAGCCTCTGCCAGCTCCGGGGGGCTGCTTCAGCACCTCTGGTCTCTTTGCCACAGAGCTGCTGCACGGTTGGTTATCTTCTGTGTGATGCACGTGCAGCATCTCCTGTTCCAGAACGCCGTTTAGGGACAGTCCCCTGACAGAAATACATACAAGTGTGCTGAGGCTCCTACCTCCCTGAGTCTGAAAACAAGTGGTGAGAGCTCTGGACCCGGTCCTGGGAGCTGCTAAATCTGCCCCCAGCGTGCTGAGCAGCTCAACTTGTAGGGGCACCCGCAGGACTCGTGGGCTGTCAGCAGCTCCCGAGGAGCCCTGGGGGAGACCTGCTACTGCTGCTGTGTGAGGAGCACAGGGAACCCTCCTCCTTCTCCCCTCCTCTGCCTCCTGACCCCCCTCACAGGCCATGCCTACCCCATCACCTTTTATCTGCTGGGCTGAGCTGCTCTGGGTGTGCACTTGTGGGTCTGGGGCTCTGGAACCAGACAGTGACCTATTCAGTTGACTTTCCTGTCTCTTGGAGCCGCACATCCCCTCCCAAAGCCCCAGGAAGTGCTTTCATTCACTGAATTACAGCTCAGCCCCCTCAGCTCTGTGCTGTCATCAAAACAGGGACAAAAAATCTCTACAGTGAGCATTTCAATGAAATCAGCCTTTTTTTTTTCTGGGAGCTGCTTCCAGAAGAAAAAGTAACCTATGATACTTCACAAAACTCAGGGGGAAAAGCCACATCCCTCTGTGAATGTCCAAAGCCAGGCCTCTGGCCCCCTGCAGATCTATCTGGAAGGTGAAGAGGGGCAGGAGCATCCCCAACACCTCCTCCTTTAGAATGTCTGACTGCAGGGTGCTCTCCAGGCAGAGCTCCATGTCACTGCCTCCTAGACCTCGCTGTGGAGAGATCCAGCTCTGCTGCCCAAATCCTGACACACTGATTAGCCCAAGAGATCAGATGAAGCATCTTGGTTTCTCCAAAATCTTTGCTGAGGATCATTCCTCCTGTCCTTGTCTCCAGGCACATGCTGGCTAGAGGTCCCTTACCTTACAGACCAACCCCTCTGGTTCCTGGGCAGCCTGGTCCACATGAAGCCAGAGAGGAGGTGGAATGGAATGAGGATGCTGGCCACAGCCTTCCACACCAGGCTGAGCAGAAAAGCAGTCGAGTTTCCCAAGCCCTGTGACAGATGACAAGGGCTGTGTTTATACCAGATACCCACATACCTTGGGGAAATTGTGCAACAGGAGATTCGTCACCGTGTGTCACATCACTGTACCTCTGACCCAATGCCAGGGCTTGGCAGTGCTGGGAGAGCGGAGCTGCCTGCAGCCGTGCACCTCAGCCACTGTGCAATGCAGGAACAAAGGGTCTGGGATTAAAATACCTCCCCAGTTCTGCCATCAACTGGTACCTGACTGCTCTTATTGTCTGAGCAAGCAGAGCTGTGACTGTAAATAACCACAGGATTAGGCACCTTCTAAAGACAACTAGTACAACTGCAGCACATGTTGCTGGGCTGCCCCTGGGCTGGGTGGTTTGAGTGGGATGATATTTCATGCTGATTTTGCCTTACTTTCCTCTGTTAGATGATTCTTGGGCTAACTTCAGCCTGGGTGCCAGCAGCTGGAGAGTTACTCCAGTGCTGGAAGCAACCCATGGTCTTTTACACCACTCTTAGCATCACCTTTTGTGTGTCCCATGCTCTCCCCAAGCCTTGCACTCTTGTTGGTGTTGGGTTGTTGCTTCCCCATGCTCTTTGCTGCGAGGGGATGGAGTCATTCTCCCAGCCTGGCTGTGCTGGGGGCAGCTGTGAACCCAGAGCTGGTGCTGCCCTTGTGCTTGCAGCGCTGTCACCACCCCCTGGCCAGCCCAGGAGTCAGGTACTTCACTTGGCCAGCTTTGGCTTCTGCCACTCCCATAGCAGGTCTTTCCAACACTCCCATGAACATGTGCAGATAATCTGAAACCTGTTAATGTGAGCAGTCACTGGGCTGCTTTTCCCAGCCTGCAGTTTGACTCTCTAGACAGAGCAACAGCATCTCTTGGTCCCTTGGCTGTCCCTTGTATTCAGTGCTTCCTGCAGCTGATTTACTGTAGTCAAAAGCCCTGAATTAGTCATTTGTCTGTGGAAAATCCCCCCTGCCCTTGCACTGTGCCCTGCAGAAAAAGGACCAGGGAGGGGGAATCCTTCCTTTGCTCTGAAGCAGTCTCAGGCGTAGGAGCTGGCTTTTTCCCTCTGCTGCTCCTCTTCCAAAGGTTTCTCCTCCCAGTATAAGGAGTCTGCTGTGAAGCAGTGGAGCCAGGTTTGGTCCTGGCCCTTGTGAGCCTTGCTCCTTGGAAACTCTGTAGTGGCTCTTGCAGGAGTGCTGTGACTGTGTCTCACATCTGCGTGGCACTGGGTCACTGTCACTTCAGGCTGTGCTGAAGATAATTTTTGAGCAAACACACATCATGTGACACAATCAATAGTGTCATTTGCTCCAATCTTTTTCTTTTTCCTTCTGATTTGTAGTTGATTCATCATTGTTGGCAGACGCTTTTCTGTTCAGAGTGTCCTGTCCTGCTGGTGGCCACTGCGATTCCCTGACTGCCACCCCCTAACGTGACAGGACTCAGAAAATGGTGGTGGGGCTGCAAGGTGTGGAGCAAAGGCTGGCTCTAGGACTGAGTGTCACCTTTGCTCATGCTGTCTGCCAGAGCTTGCAGAAAGCCTGAAACAGGAGCTCCAAGAGTTGTTCTGCTTCCTCCTCCCCTCTGGATCAGGAAATCTCATTTACTGACAAGCAGGAGAACGTGGTAGTTCTGTATCAGCTTAAAGGGCTGAGCTTTGTTTCAATGAAAAGAGAAAACGCTCCTATTAACAACTATCTGAAACACTAATGAAAACAAAAACAAACAAACAAAAAAACACAGCAAAACTCTTTATAATAAAGGGAATCAGATTTTATTTTATACCCTCAGAGTTAAAAATATGCATTTCAATATATTTACAATGACTACATATGAAAAAAACCCTTTGTTAATGAAACAGCAACATACAGTACTAGAATATACCCACCAAATAAAGTCTACATAGGAAGAAAATGTAACAGAAAGAGAGAGAGGTAAATAGCATCCATGCACAATCTGCACCTGCATGTGATTTTATTCTCCCTGCCTTTCAGTCGTGGATGGAGTCGCAGGAAGCTTTGACCTCTTGTTCCTTACAAATGCCACTTCTGACTGAAATTGTTCGAACTGACAGAAATTTGTGGGTTGCAGCAGGACCACTGCTTTACCTTCCCATGCCAGCCTTTCACACGGGGCCCTTGTATTACAGAGTGGACTCAAAATCTCTCAGCAACCCTGGGAGGTAGGTACAGTTCTATGGAAGGCTTTGGCAGAAGGAAAAGCACCGGTTTAAGTGACTGGCCTAAGGCTGTGCAGCCCTTAGGAGCAGGACTCAAGCCCTGACTCATCTCTTATTAAGGAATACACTTCCTCTGCTAACGCGTATCATCTGCCTTTGAGATGAGCTGTGTCACAAGGTGGGGCTCTCAATTAATGCTGTGTGGGAAAACCCCTGCCTACAGACATGGCCTTGTCCCAGTGACAGCCTGCGATGCTGCAGCACTGTTCCCCTGCTCTGGAGCTAACAGGAGGTTTCACTGCAGTCACCCCCCAGATGATCCCTCCCTGCATGTGCATCATGGAGAAGCTGCACCCTCTGTAACCAGGGCCCCTCTGTACCTTCACCCCACACTTCCCCTCTCTCCCTCTCTCTCCATCTTTCACACCTGTACGTTTGCCCTTCCCACCTGTATCTGGTTCAACCACGGGAACGTAAAGAGTAGACAGCACAGCAAAGAAAATTGCTGCCTTATTTCTGTAGACATTTTATATGAATTTAATCCCATTTCTGTTGGGTTGCTTCCCAATTTAATGTCTTTAACTTTCACATATGCAACTGTTTCTATAAATGTAACAAAGGCCCATCCCATTTGTTTCAATGGGTAAAAAGGGGCATAAGGCTCACTGCCCAACCCATGGGGCACACTGAAAGTAGGTGAGAAGGGCTTCAGGAAGTGAAAAAGGTGTAGCCCTTGGGTGTGTGGTGCCCTTCAGTCATCGCTGCTGGGCTTGGAGCTTTGTGAAGGCAGGACGTGACTTTGCAGAAAAGGAGGAGAGCTGTCTGGGTCGTTGGCAGATTTCTGGTGCAGCAGCCCCAGGAGTGCTACATCAGTTGGGGCTGTTTCTCCCTCTCTTTGGGGAAGGAGCTTCTGAGGATTCTAGCTTTGTTAGTGATTGTTCTGTGGCGGTGGCAGTGGTGCTGATGGCTCTTTCTGTCTATTGGCCCAACAGTTCTCTCAGCAGAGCAATGCTTACCCATTCCCAGCAGCCAACCCTCTCCCCTGGACTCCCACGAGCCTTATTTTTTCCTAAGGACAAGGTAGAGGATGCCGATGATGAAGCTGAAGCAGAAGCAGATCCAGGCCAGGATGAAGCAGTAGCCGTGGTGAGGCCGTGTGAAGGTGGGCAGCTGGCCCGTGAAGCGGGCTGTGTAAATGGAGACTGCCACCAGGATGCACAGCCCTGTGGGAAGGAAGAGGGGAAACAGGGTTGGAAAAGGCCCCGAAAGCAGAACTGCTGCAGGACTTCGGAGGTGCTCTTGTCCCTTTAGACTGTAACACGTGTCTTGTGCCAAATGGGAGAAATAAGCCCATTAGGCTTATTTGTGGAGGATTTCTCTTGCAGATGTGATGACATAAGATACTTGGGGCTTGTTTACCATGAGGAACAAACCTCTGCTAGGAGGAAAACAGGAATAAGATCTGCAGACAGTTTGGTGCTACGTGTTGAATCCCATGAGCAGTAGCTGTTTATTCCCCTGAACCCCAAAATACTTGAATTCTTTTTCTTACCTTTCTTTTGCAAACCCCCATGGGCTTTTCTAATGAAAATCTGGAAATACTTTCATTATCTACAGTAAAAAAAAGAAAACCCAACCCTTTCCAATTCCTTGGTGCTTTATCACAAAAACTGGGCCACTGGAAGCCTTTAAGTGACTGAGAACCTCCTTGGGTGGGCATGTGTGGCAGACGTGGCTGCCTGCACTGGCAGGGGCAGCGGGAGGACGAGGTGTGCACACTTACAGCAAACCAGCATGATGGCCCCAGTGATGTAGAAGCGGTTGCCTTTCTCCAGGGTGAAGAGCTGCACGATGAACATCACCAGGGCGATGACGGAGAAGATGATGGAGAGGATCATAAAGGCTTGCACGGCCTTGAGGGAGGCTGTAAACACAGGGGGTATAAACGTGAGGATGTTGAATACCAGCCTTGGTGCTGTGCACCAAGGTCCTGCCATTTGTCACCGCAGTGCCACCGCAGCCGCCACTGACCTTCCTCAGCCCCGCTGACTGGCAGGGGCTGGCAGGTCTGGTTGCACAGGAACCAGAGTCCCAAGGAGACCGGTCCATAGCTGGAAGAAGCCACCATCCAAACCTGAAACAGGATGAAGCCGTTGCATCAAAGGGGAGGGGGCTTCCAAAGCCAGGGGGCATTTTGTGTGGGCAAAGCACGGGGGAAGTCTGTTCCTGTGATGGGCAAACCGCTCAGGTCACCACCCCCTCTCCCCATGCACGAGGGCAAGGGGTGCAAGGGGCCCCCCAAAATCAGGCACAGAGGGGTGCGGGGGGTGTGCTGGGGGTCACCTTTGCCCCAGGTTTTCCAGGGGGTCCCAGCCACCCCTTTGCTCTGGCTTTGCCTCAGGAGCAGCATTGGAGGGGTGCCTGGGGTGGCCCCGGCAGCAGCTTGCTGCCGTTGGTGCAGTCAGGCGTGGGGCAGTGCCTGGCCGTGCCACAGCCAGGTGATCAGTAGCCCCTCAGAGCCATCATCTGCTGGTCTCCACTGCTCCTCACTGCACTCTCGTGGGTGCAGAGTGGTGGGGTGCTGCTGGCTCTCGGATTTGGGAGGCAGGCGGAGGCTGCCTCTGGGAACACTCCATCTGCCTCTCTGTTCCTGAGCACACCCATCACAGCTTCGTATTTCCCCAACAGGTCCCCAGCCTCTAGACCTGAGCAGCCTCCCACCCGTCCCCGTGGCAGCCCCAGAAAGGGCTGGGAAGCAGCAGCTGGGTCTCAGCCAGGGTGGTCTCTACTTACGTTGGAAATGGTGGAGACAAAGAGCATGATGACAGTGGCGATGTGCACCACGAAGATACCAGCCAGTAGCACCAACATCTTGGGTTCCCTTCCAGGTGGTGTCACCGACACAAAGAGCTCTGGAGGAGAAGGAGAACACAGGGAGGAGGTGAAGGGAAGGGGTGAGTCAGTTCTTCTCATTCCTATCAGCTTTATTGACATGCAATAAAACAGATTGATCTTAAATCCATTCTGGGAGCAAGCAGTCACCAAAAAAAAAATTGCTAAGACCTTTGTCAAAATCTTTGTCCAAAGGGAGTTGCTCAAGAGGTTAAAGAAATCCTGGAGGTCAAGGAAGCAGTTTGGGAGGGGATGTAGAGCAGGGGTCGTTAGCTTGGGGGCATTTTGAAAGTAGCCTGAGTACATACACAGGTTGCTTAAACTGGTGTGTGGTTGTGTAGAGTAGAAACGACATACTCCAGGAAGAGGAGTTTTGCCTACAGGATTCACAGGGTCAAGAAAGATTTTTCCCTTCCTGTTCTCCCTTTCCCTCTCATCAGGGCACAGCCTCATCTTGGCACAGCCTCCTCAGCTGCTCTGGCACACGAGAGCTGGAGTGGAGCAGGAGACTCTGCTCCTGCATCCATCAGCTGCTGAGAGGTGGTGGAGGGTGGGCTGCGCGGCTGCCCCTGCTCATCGGCCCTCTCCTCTGTGTGAAAAGGAGAATAAACCCAGCAGAAACAGCACCGAGGTGCTGTGGGGCAGAGCAGGGTGCTGAGGTTTGCAGTGAAAACTGCCTGTTTCCCTTTTAAAACCTGAGGCTTTAGTACTGCAGTAAGAGTCACTTGTAATGCAAATACAATGGTTTGGTTTGGGGTTTTTTTTGCCTTTGTACCCTACAAGCTTTTGCTTTTTTAAGAGTTGCTGTCATGGATGAACACAGGATGGGAGAGGGAGGGGAGTGTGCTTTAGATAGCTCCAATGCACTGCTCATCAGGGCTGCGGACTGCTCCATGGAACACAAAACACGAGGGACAAATCTCAGCTGTGCAAGCTTCACACCAAGTCCCCTCCTTCCAAGACTTTGTTATTAATCATGTAGGGTTGCCACAGAAATCAGGCCAAGGTGTTTGCTGGGTTCACTCTGTGGCCAGTGAAAGATGCTTCCTAGAAAGTGTGCCGGGCTGTCCTCTCCTCCTGGCAGTGCTGGCACTGAAGGGCAGTCCCGAGCACGTCGCCAACGTTGGCTGTGGGGTTATTTTGGGCCAGCTGACTCAGGGGAGGTTTGCTTCTGTCAGCGTCTGTGCAGGGTGTGGTAACACTGTCATGGAACAGCAGAATTACACTCTATGATGCCTTTCATGCAAATTGTAACAAAAGGCTTTGTACAGTCCCATAACTGTGGGGTGTGTTACTCAGTCACTCCACCTTCTCCACGTCTGCCTCTGCTCTCCTGGCCACGTGTGGGAGTGTGTTCCTGGAAAGTGCTGCAGCTCTGCCTTGTGCTGCTCTGGGCACGGGTCCCTACGCTGCAGTGGGCAGGTGGGCTTCTCCATCAGTGCCTTTTGGTCAGTTCAGCATCAGCTGATGACCAGGAGGAATTCCCTGCATTCAGGATTTCAAGGAACCAGCCCCCTTAGGTCATCTCTTAGGTTACTCCTCCCACCCAAATGAGTTCACTCCTTAGAAGGACAGATTTGGTTTGGTGAGGAGATATCTCCTCAGCAAGACCTTGTCTGCAGTGAGGGTTCCTTCACCTGGGAGAACTCTGAGCTGTTTAGCTCTGGTTTGCTGAACATGGGCTGGGCTTGCTTGTCTGCCTTGGGGTGTCCTAGCAAAGTCCTCATGCTCTGGGGCTTGATTTGCCTGGGTGGCCTGGTCACTGTGCCCTCTCTTGTCACACTGTTTGCCTTAGTGGTGATCTTGGAGGAAGTACAGCCGTCGTAGGAGCTCCTCTCTGACACTAGTGACAGTCATTTACGAGTTCAGCACTGCTGAAATCCAGGTTCTCAGTACTGCATGGAGGCTGCCACATGAACACACCCAGCCTGTGTTAAACCCCTTCTTCCCACTGACCACTAAAGGAGTGGGGCTTTCAAAATGCTGGATGGCAACTGACAGGGACCTCACTGCTGTACCTGGAGCTGAGAAACTATTTCTGTTGCCCAAGTTATGGGTCTGCAGCAGGTGCCTGGAATAAAGCCTTTGAGCCAAACCCTCCCATCCCTTGGACTACCTGTCATCCCTTTTTCTGATCACCTCAGTTCCTACACAAACTGCAATGAGTGCTCTTGCCATCACAGGGCATTGGCAGACACACCAAACTGTGGCAAATACGCCTGCTCCTGCTCTGAAATTCACCTTTACTGAACAGGGGCTAAACTTTCTGCTTTCTTACATGGCTGTATCATCCCACGGCCTCTTTAAAAACTAATTCAGCAGGTGGTTTGCTGATTTTTTTTTGAGGACCTTCAAAAAATCCCTGTACTTGAAAGACTAAAACCTGCTTTCATGACACCCTAAGGGACCAGAGCAGTCCTTTTAAATGCATGTTCCATTTGCACTCAGAACTGAAAACGAGGCATAAGCATTACTTCTCAATGGAAAAAGAAAACCAAAAAACCCACACCCAGAACTTTGACCATACGCTAAGAAAAGAACCAAATCCTTTGTTCCTGTTGCTTTTTCTGCCCCATTCTCACGTGCTGCAGAGCACTGTTAGTGCAGGTGCTCTCAGGGCCCCTGCCTCCCAAGGGCACCAGCACCTCTCCCTGGGCACACGCCCTGTCGGGTGCCAGCCCCTGGGGTAGGAGCCCCAGCTCGGGTTTGGCTCTTTGTGAGTTAAACACAGGCCTCCCTCTCTATCTGTTCTCTTTCCCCCTCCTGCCTCTCTCCGTGCCTTTTAAACAAGGGCTGGAGAACAAGCCCAAAGGGGCAGCGGGTGAACGGCCGGCACTGAAGTCAGTCAGCTCTGTCTCTGATGGTGGCACATGGACCTTTCCTCCCTGCTGGAGAAGGGAAGCTGGCAGGCCACTGCTGACTGGAAGGATGCTCTGTCCGTGTGTTAAGGGTGAGACATCCTTCCCCTGCAGGGTGGGGTCACACTGCTGGAGCAGTAGGACACAACTGCATGCAAACGCCTTTTCTTCCCATCCCCAACCTAACTGCAGCTGGAGCTGGTGCTCCTTGGGCTCCTCGCAGGCTGTGAGTCACTCTTAGCCTTCCTAGAGCTGCCAGTTTTTTCCACTGACTCACCCCAAAGCTCCCCAAACCACAATTATTTAACCCTGAGTGTGTTCAGCTCTGGGGCCCCCAGTATAAGCGGGACATGGACCTGCTAGAATGGATCCAAAGCAGGGCCACAAAGATGATCAGAGAGCTGAAGAACCAGCCCTGTGAGGGCAGTCTAAGAGAGCTGGGGTTGTGCCATCTGGAGAAGAGAAGGCTCTGGGGAGACCTTACAGTGGCCTTCCAGTACTTAAAGTGGTCTACAGGAAAGCTGGGGAGGGACTCTTTATCAGGACTGTAGTGATAGGATGAGGGGTAACGGTTTAAAACTGGAAGAAGGTGGATTTAGATTAGATATTAGGAAGAAATTTTTCACTGTGAGGATGGTGAGACACTGGAACAAGTTGCCCAGAGAGGCTGTGGATGTCCCCTCCCTGGAAGTGTTCAAGGCCAGGCTGGGTGGGGCTTTGAGCAGCCCAATGTAGTGGAATCTGTCCCTGCCCATGGCAGAGGGGCTGGAACTAGATGATCTTTACAGTCCCTTCCAACCCAAAGCATTCTATGATTAACAAGAACCAGTCAAGCAACCAGGTTGTGAGTCCTGAACTGAGCCTCCTGGGATGCCTTCCAGAGGAGAGACCCCAGCTAAGCCAAGATAAACAGAGCTGAGACATGAGAGCAGAATGCCTGCTGAGGTGGGACA